AAGTGCTGTGAGAACTCAGAAGGCAAGGATTTATATGTAGTTTTAGAATAACTAGGAAATAATCTGTAGAGGAGGTGGACCTTGAGTTTTAGACATTTGATTAGCAGAAAAAGGTTGGAGACATTTTAGGGAGTTTGGAGTGGTTAGAACCACTTTGAGGACTTCTTGACTAGTTGTTAAAAAATTATTAGAGAGGAGTTTGAATAGTGTATACCAGTTTGAAAAATTTGGCATTCATCTGTTAAACTATCCGAAAATATCATGTACTGTATTTGGAAAGTTAAGCAGCACTTGTGTCATAAAAACTTTAAAAAGGCAGAAAGATTTTTAAAAAAAGAAAAAGAAAAACCAGAGCTTAAAGTAATTGGAAAGTGAATGGGTCTACGTATATAGTAAGGGGCACGGGGTGGGGGCTGAAAAAGAAAAGATTATAGTTGTAAATTTGGGAGTCATCAGTGTAAGAGTAAGAATAATTATCCTACTCATATTATGCGCATTGAAACTTTGTGTCTTTGGTTGTAAGTAGTTTTAGAACCTCTGAAGTCTGAGTTTTTTGTGTTTTTTTTGGTACCAGGGATCAAACTCGGGTCCTTGCGCTTGCAAGGCAAACGATGGAACCACTAAGCTAAATCCCCAGCCCATGAAGTCTGAGATTTTTAGAGGTGAGAGGTTCCCAGTCCTTTGGGTTCGAGATTGAACTATTTCTTTAGGGCAATGGTGGAGAACCTATGGCACGCGTGCTGCAGTGGGCCATTTGTATCATTGGAAGCTCTAAAAGGTTCACTGTCACTGCTTTAGGGGAATAGTTTATTTTTTTAGTTTGTGTGTTTCTTTTAGATGATTTAAAAACTTTATTAAATGGGGAAACTTTATAAAATACAATTTGGTACAAAATCTCAAAATAAAATACCACTTGTCAGTTTCATATTAAGTTTAAATTTATACCGTGCTCTTAGTTGTCAGTGTATGTGTAAGAATCTGGGGATATTGGTGAAACCAGCTTTGAGTTTGGGGTTTAAGCAGTCTTGGCCTTAAAATCCAATTGTATTTCTGTGTTTTTTATGTGAAGTGTTGTGACTATCCACTACTGATTGATAAGTTATGCAAAAGTTGGTTTTTTTGTTTTTTTAAAACTTGCCTTGCCATCCATCTCAGGACACTCTCAGTTGGACAGAGATGACAGAAGAAACTTCATTCTCAGGTCTACCCCAAATTGAGTTACGCCAAAGGAGTACAAGTTAACGTGTTGGTGATCTTTAAAGGACTAAGGCTTGGTTTAACACATAGGAGTGTGTATTTATACATTTTAATGCATTTTAAACATTGAAAAAAATAAATGAAATGCTGAAGAATCCTATGTCCCTATCAAATAGTGTTGGCTTTTTATTTTACTTTATTAGTGTTGGCTTTTTAAATGCTACCTTTAAATGTTTTTGCTTCTACCTCTGAAGTGTTTTCTAATCTTTTTTTTTTCCCGTGAAGAGTAAGAACTCCTTAGAGGTAGAAGCAAAATCTTTATATGTAGATGAAATGATCATCTACAGAGAAAATACTAAGAAATCTCTAGGAGTCCCTAGAACTTGTATTTGAATTTAGCAGGATTAGAAAACACAAGGTATATATAAAAATTCAGGTCTGTGTATACTTGCTATAAATGAAGAATTGGATATTGAAATTTAAAAGGTATGTAGGAGTACAAAGGACCTAGAAAAGTTAAAAAAAAAAAAAAAGCAAAAACAGTGTTGGAAGACGTTTTGTACCTAATTTTAAGACTTCTTTTAAAGCTACAGTAATCAAGGCAGTGTTGGTGTAAGGAAAGACATATAGATCATTGGAATAAAACAGAGAATCTAGAAATAGAACCACACATATATGGTCCACTGAGTTTTGAAAGATTATTTAACATTAGCATTTTATAGAATATAAACTCAATTCAAGAGCCGAGGAAGAGATAGTGTTTATAAAGATTTTGCTTCTACCTTGCCAATCCTATCCTAGTTGTGTCATTTTATTGCCAGACTATTTTGGTGGGGCCTAGGTTTCAAAGTTTAATGGACAGATAAGGAGTAAGCATATCTGCCCTTGTTCCCCACCTTAGGGAGAAACATTGAATCGTCTCCATTCGTATAAGTCATTTTTGCTGGAAGTATGGAGTACGTGTCTTTAATCTGTTGAGAAGGTTCTGTTCTACTTCTAGTCTCCTGATAGCTTTTACCATGAACAGCTGTAGAATGTAGTCCAGTACTTTTTCTCCACCTAGTGAGAGGATCATATGGCTTTTTGCTTTCCTCTGTTAAATTCATGACTTTTGGGGGTGAATCTTCCAATGCTGAACCAACACTGCCATCCCTATAACAAAACCACTTTCTACATCCTGCCAGATCTGACTTCTAATAGTTTGTTTTGTTAAACAAATTTCTATCTATGTTCATACTTTTTTCTTCTATTATCTTTATCCAGTTTTAGGCTTAGCACAATGTTGAGTTCTTAAAATGAGGGGAGAAGTGTTCCTTCTTTTTTCTGCTTTAATTGTTTGATATAATTTATCAGTTAAAATGTATATGAGCCTGCTGTTGTCATATAGGTAGGTTTTCAAGCTAGGAATATACTTTCTTTAATAGGTGCTATTCAAATGTTATATTTCCTCCAGAGTTAGTTTCATTAATTTGTCTTCCAAGGTACTTCTTAGAAGTTGTCAAATTTATTTCAAAAAAGATTTTTGAAATATGCTTTCTATATCCTTTTAAATTCTGTAAAATCTGTGGTAATGTCTCCTAGATCTTAATATTGTAATTTATAAAATGTATAATTGATACTGTGTAACAGGAAGAAAAGGTCTAAAGGTGCAGAGGAAGTGGGAGGGGTAAGGGAAAGGAAAAAAGGGGAAAGAAAAATATGAGAAAAGGAAAAAAATGGAAACAGAGTCTTTGCAAATAGGGAAGGGTGGAGGGGGTGAAGGGAGGGCAAGGGAAGGGGAAAAAAATAAGAACCGAGATACTCATGTAATGGTACAAGATCCCAATGATGAATGTAACTGTATTTTATACCTAAAATGTACCAATAAACTTAATGGGGAAAAAAAAAATACTTGTTGAATAAATTTTAAAAAATAAGAATGGTGTCAATAAATTACAGAAAACATTAAAAAAAAAAAAAGAACTCCTTAGAGGAGCCTTTTCCAAATGTTCCCTGTTAATAATTATTTTTCTGTCCAAACACTGGATTTTAAACATTGTTTAAAAGATTACTTTGCTGAAAAACTTCTCAGTACCTTTAATGTGCATTGTGACTCCTAGAGTGGGCTTATAAAGAACTCAGTGTTTTGTTGGACATAGTGACACACACTTGTAATCCCAGTTGTTTGGGAGGCTGAGGCAGGAGGATCATCAGTTTGAGGTCAGCCTGGGCAACTTAGACCCTGTCTCAAAATAAAAAAGGGCTAGGGATGTAGCTCAGTGGTAGAGTGCTGACCTTGCATGTATGAGGCTCTGGCTGGGTTCATGCCCTAGTACCACATAATAAACCCAACAAAACCAAAGTTTCCCAAACTTGATCTTGGGATCCCTTCAAGTGATTAGTGAATGAGTAGGTTTGATGGAGGTAAGATCATAGCACTGAATCTTTGAAACTGAGGGGTCAAGCTCTGTTAAGGAGAGATAAAAGGAAAAAGAAAACTGGATGCTATAAGCTTTGTTTTTGTTTGTTTTACATTTTCTGATCTCTTTTCCTCTTTGAAACCGTCTTTTTCCTTCTTGCTGTTTTCTCACCCATTGTCCTGAGAACTATTCCTACAGTTTTTCTCAGGATAAAGTTCAGTATTATTTACATTTCAGAAAGTTTTCTCTGTGAGATGGTCATCTGAGCCAGATCATTTGTTTGCAATTAGATTTTCAGCATATTGAGTATAAGGATATACTCATTTATAATTGTTTTTTCCGTTGTGCCGTGTGCTGTGTTTAGTATTTCAGTAGATGGATACTGTACAGTTATTCATACACTAAATTAAGATTCCTAGAGCATCTCGGTCATTGGTTTATCTTTAATTTTTGTTTCCATTTTCTAACTCAATCTCATTTTTCATTAAAGTTCTTTTCCTTCCTCTGTCTGTCCTCCATCCCCCAAATCCTAAAATAATAAAAGAAAAAGAATAAAAAGTAACCAGCTACCTGGAGCTAACAGAAAGACATCTAGAAAATTAAAATAGATTCTTTTCACTGTAATTGTGGGATAATTCATTAATTCAATAGCTATGGTATACGTGGTAAATGTTGTTGTTCTCCATCCCCGTATCTAATTTTTTATTTCATCTTTTTATTGAATCAATAATAATTAAAGAGCTGTATATTCTATGGCTTTCTGGAATGCAGTCATAGTTTGATAGTGTTCCCATGCCAACTATTTATAATACATACATTCTTTTTAAAAAATGGGATTGGGGATTGAACCCAGGGCCTCCACAGTGTGCTACATCTCTGACCCTTTTTTATTTTTTGTTTTGAGTCAGGATCTCACTAAGTTACTCAGACTGAGCTCAAACTTTCAATCCTCCTGCTTTAGCCTCCCAGAGTGCTGGGATTACAGATGTGTGTCACCACACCAGGCTACAACAAGTAGTCTTTTTAGACAGACTTGGTATTCTGGTTAACTATATTTTTGTCAGAGATACAGCTCTTTTGTTGAAAGTTCCAAAATACAAGTATGATATATACACACTGAAAAAAAACACTTAGGTATAGAGAGCCTCAGAGTGTGATTTGAATTGGTCATTGTTATGATGTAAAAGTTACAGATCAAACTAAACCTGAACTGACCAAGAGTGTTTCATGAGGCTTTTGTTTTTAATAAGTTCCTATTGCAAACTGGCTTGTTCCTTGTTAAATGCTTATTTCCCTTAAAATTTCAAATTAGAAAGCCATTCATATTCACTAATAGTTCCAGGTAGGCTCCCTAATTTTAGATGTTCACTGTACTTAGTTTTTCCTGTTACAATCTCTACATAGGTGGAGTACCGAGAGATGGATGAGAGCTTGGCGAACCTCTCAGAAGATGAATATTATTCAGAAGAAGAGAGGAATGCTAAAGCAGAGAAAGAAAAGAAGCTTCCTCCACCACCCCCTCAAGCCCCACCTGAGGAAGAAAATGAAAGTGAGCCTGAAGAACCATCTGGTGAGTTGTAGTAACCAATCACAGTTTTATCATAGAAATAAAAATAATCGGATTTATTCCTATTTTGCAGTGTTACGTATGTCTTCGTCTTTGGTTTGTACTCTAATATTTGATCTCTTGCCGTATGTGTCTTTATGTGTGTGTGTATATGTATATATGTACACATACGTAGTGGCGCTGATAGTCTTTTATGTATGTCTGTACACATGTAGAAAGAAATTAAAGGAGGTTAGAAGGACATGGCGGTACAAGGCATTTGGAAAGTAGAAGAAAATAAATGGTTGTAAAAAAAACACAGAATGACAAATCCAAAGAACCAATCCTGTCAGTGACTCAGAACTTAAAGGTAGAATGTGACAGAAATTGTTCTGACTAAATTATGCCTTTACAACATATATTCTTTCTGCTAAAACTTTCATGGTATGGTCAGTTTTGAGAAATGCCTATTCCGATGAACAAATGTTAAATAAATATATATATATTGTTTATATTCATTTATTCTGAGGTCTAAAGAAAAATATATTCTGATTGCCTGTAAATGCTTAGTTATTGACCCTCCAGGCAAAAGAAGGATATAAGAAAGACTATAAAGTGAATCTCAGCTAACACAGGCTTCCTTATGCTGAGGAAACACTGGTAGTCTCTAGCATTGGTTTCATAGCTACAGGCAGCTTTAAAGAATTTCCAGTAACATTCTCAGCCTCGAGTCTTGGCTCACTGAAGATATCCAGCCCAGTGGGGTACCCCACTGTTGTGCAGAAACCAAGTGAAAACCAAAATCTTAATTAATTTTTTGTATCTTTTCTTTTTAATGACATTACATTAATTCTTCTTGATTTTGAGTTTTTTACTAAGTTCCTCTTCTTGAAATAATTTTTATATTTCCATTACCTCCAGGTTCACTTACCTCACCAATTCTTTTAGCTCTATATTCTTCAAAAACAAAATGCTGGTTTCAGCCCCATCTGCTGTATCTTGCATTACTTTCCTAGATACGTGGTTTATGACATGTTTTGACAAGTTCTCTTTTGGCTTAGCCTTTTTTGGTAGTATTTCTTCTCTGTGAGGATACTATGAATTAATAGTTGTTGTTTTTTTTATATATATAAAAACAAACCAGTATGCTTCATATGAGAGGAGTAAAAACAATTTTTTTCTTTCTTTTCTTTGCAGTAATAGGTTCAAGCCCAGGGCCCCCACTGAGCTACATCCTCAACCCTTTTTATTATTTTTATTTTGAAATAGGGTCTTGCTCAGTTACTAAGTTGTCTAATAGGCTGTGCTCAAACTTGAAATCCTTCTGCTTCAGCCCTTCAGACTGCTGGGATTGCAGGTGTACACCAGCACAACTGGCTAAGTAACAAAAATTTATAATTTACAGGATTGAAATAAAGTATTAAAGTAATACTCTTTGAAAAACAGAGAAAGGTTAGATTCTGGGTTCACTTTTATCATAAGAGTGACAGGTTTTATTTTTGTTGTTGTTTTTCAGAAGAGTAGTTTTTCCTAAAACTGTCCTGAAATGATTTGTTGGGTAACTCCTCATTGGAAGGTTAATTATAGTCTCCGTGGTACATTACCTTTGGGACCAATGTCCCCAGTCAAGTGAGTGAGTGTAGCTCCCTTTGTACTTCAACATCGTCTCTATTGTTTTTCTTTTTCCTTGTATGGCAGTCTTCTACATTTAGTTCTCTTCCCTTCTTTCAGCTCGTGTCCAGCCTTTCTTTGTTCACTGCAAATTTTAAGCTAAGTATTGGGTTTGGTGTTTTCTTTTTCTTGATTTTTTTTCACAAATGTAAGGCATTGTTCCCATAAAAAGTGTCTTAGCAGGGACCGGGGAATTAGCTCAGTGGTGCCACCGCCTGCCTTGCCAAGTGCAAGGTCCTGAGTTTAATCCTCGGTACCAAAAAAAAAAAAAGTGTTTTAGCAAAAGAGATTAGGGATTTGGGATTTGGGGCAGCTGTCGTAGTGCTTTACAGTGCATTGCTTTAGTTTAAATAGGTTGTCTGAATCTTTTGTTTTTAGTTTTTTGAAACAGAGTCTCACTGTGTAATCCAAGCTGGCCTTGAATTTGCTGTGTAGCTCAGGCTGGCCTTAGTGTACTACAGCTGCATACCACCACATCCTGCTATCCTAGTCTTTTGGGGAAAAGTTAAGTTTTAAATTGAAGCCATCTACAGTGCTAGGAGATATGTTGGTGATAGTCAAAATTTGCCATTATATTAATGGTGATGATAAAAATCTATTTTTCCCCTATGTACTTTTTTTTGGTACCGGGCATTGAACTCGGGACCTTGTACTTTTGAAGCAGGCGGCGGAACCACTGAGCTAAATCTCCAGCCCTAAAAATGTGTTTTTCCTCTAAGCCAGATGTGATGGTGCACGCCTGTAATCCAGTCCTAGCACTCGGATCACTGTGAGTTCAAGGATAGACTGTGCTACGTATTGAGTTGAAGGCCAGCCTGAGCTACATAGCGAGACACTCTCAAAAAAAATTTATCTCCACCAACGCTGCTTCAGTATTGTTATAAACTTTGCTATTGTTGGTGATAACAAGAAAATATTTTTTTGTCTAAAATAATTTAGAATCTTTTGAAAGTTTCTGTGGCGAATTAAGTACTTTTCCTTAGGAAACATTAGCAATTTACTAGCCTCATAGTTTAAAAATAGACTGGGTCCTGATGGTGACTTACAATTTATTATCAGATGAGTTAAATATTTAGAAATTGTGCAGGGCTACCACATTTGTTGTATTAGAGAAAGCTCTTTCACAAGTGTTCTCAGTTAAAAAGTAAATGGAAGCATTGTCATATAGAATTATTAAAATCTTGGAAAATGTGTTTATTTCCTTATCAAACCCTTTCTTTATTTCAGTCATTTGTTTAATAGTTAATTCTGTAAAATATATATGTAATGGGGCTGGGGGTTTAGCTCAGTGGTTCTGGCATCTGCCTCACAAGCGCAAGGTCTCGAGTTCAATCCCCGCTACCAAAAAATATATATATGTATATGTAATGTTTGCATAAATTTTATTACCAACTTTTAAATTTGTTTAGAAAAGTTAAAAAAAGTTGCTATCTGTAGTGTTAATTTTAAGAAGAAAATATTTTGTCACTTATGAAAGCATAAAGTATTTGGAGGTCTGTGGGTTGAATAATTTGACTGGAGAAAGTTCCTCTAAGGAGAGGACTAAGGAGGAAGCTGGAAAGGGAGTTAGGAGCCATAATGTGGGAGCCTGGCTTGATTAAAGAATTTGAGCTAAATTGGGAGGCTGGGGGTATCCCTGAGGGTGGTTTTGTTTTTGTTTTTTCAGTGCAAGGAAAACAAGTGGGTGCCGCAGCACCGAGCTATCTCCACCCCCACCGCCACCCCTCAAATATTGAGGGTTTTTTTTGGCAAGAGAGGTTGTATTAAAATATATGTTGTAGAAGGTGATCTGATGTGCTCTGTAAGGGCGACTAACAGAAGCAGACTGGAAAGGCTATTGCGGTAGTTGCATTTAGTAAATTTGGGTTGAGGGATGACATTTTTCTCAGTATGAGAGTATATTTGGAGGTGGGTTGAGGTGCTGGGAATTGAACCCTTGGCCTTGCTTATACAAAGAATGTGCTTTACCATTAACCTTTACCCTCGGTTCCCAAAGGTTTCTTTTTGGTACCGGGGATTGAACTCGGGACCCTGTGCTTGTGCGGCAGGCGCCAGAACCACTGAGCTAAATCCCTGGTCCCCCCAAAGGTTTTTAAAATGAGAATACAAAAGTTGTTTCTGTCTGGTTGGATTTACTTTATTGAGAAGTTCTCTGATTTGGCTTTTCTTTTTTTTAACTTATAAGGCTATTTTATGAAATTACCCAAAGATTTAAATGCAAAGGAGTGTAAGAGATTAACCATACACTAGAAGCCCAAAGGATTCAGCTGAAGGCCTGGATCCCAGCAGTTTCCCACACAAGTTCAGCTGAAGGCCTAGAGTCCAAGGCAATGTCCTCCTCGAGTCCAGCCAGTGGCTTAGAGCCCACGGAAATGTGTCATGCTTGTTCGTATTGAGGATCCGCACCTGGAGGGCTCAAAGGCCAGTGTTTTTAGGTTTTCACTTTTTTTAAAAAAGAGACAGATTATTTAGAAATTAATAAACATTCCTTGATGTAGTTGCAAAGCAAAAGGAAAATCAAAACTGAACATACAAATTATTTTTTAAAAAGAGTACCTCACATCTAAACCTATGATACATGTAGTCAGAAGAAAATACAGTTTTTAAATTATATATTATTTTTTCAAATAATAAAAATTGTATAACCTATAAAATTATATTTCTCATTTTTAATTTTTTTATTAGTACAGGTTTATAGTGCATAATGGTCACATTCCTTGTGGGGAGTTGGTATATGTGCATGACACATCTTAATTCTTCTCTTTTTAAAATCCTCTTCTTGCCCCTTTCCTATCTCAGATTTTCAATTTTTCACCATAACTTAATGTGACATTGTAGTCCTGTTGATGATCAAAGTAGATAAATGTTTTTATTTGTTTTTACTAAATAAGATGTTGATATTTTAAACCTACCTAATTTTGTTTTCTTAAAAATTTTCATGTATTTCTGTATTTATTATCTTGCTTAATATATTTGTTTTAACAAATGATGGATTTATTTGGTTTCTCAGTATTTTTTCTGTGAGGATGAACATAGGTTTTTTGTTTGAGCAGATTGCATTAGATTTGTGTGTTTATTTGTAGGGTCACATAATTGTGGAGCTTCTATAAAACAGAGTAAAACTCTTATTCAGTTGGGCATTACTTATTTAGAATAATTGCCCTGAAAGAAGTAGCCTTCTTTCAGAAAAAGGCTGTTTTGCTTTCATGGCTATTTGTTACCCTGTGTACCTTGGATCATTCCTCAGTTTCACATTAGTGAGGCTTTGGTCTTCACTGATTTCCTAGCACTTAGCTTTTTTGATTTTCATATAAAAACATGATTTTGATTTTTTTTTCCCTACTGCCTTTTCA